CAAGCATCAAGTGTAAAGCACCGGGCGTACCATTTTTTAGCTCATTGGTCACTTCTTTTAATATATTCTATTGATATGGTTATCAATTGCAGTGTGTATCAAGATGATGAATTGAGAAAACAAGAAAAGGAGTCTGATCACACATATTGCACACTTGTTTTTACAGGGAAGCATTTATGTAAGTTAGTATGCACCTGCTTGATCTATGCACTAACCAAAACTTCATCATAAGTTAATGCTACCCTGGCTTATCATGACATTTCCTTTACATCCTTGTACTTTGGGTAGGTTACCCAAAGACGTGGCTGGCATTGATTTTCCTCCTTTGTTTCCCTTCAAAGGTTATAGCCGAAATTAAGTGCTGCGAGTGGCAGGATTGATAACCCATATTTAGCACTACAATTGAGAATAGGTAATTGATACCAGTTGCTTCTATAATCAAGAATTAGAAAACAGAATAATCTGATAAACCATAACTATAAGTAAATAAATATGCAGGTTCCAGCTTTTCTTCTTTAAAATTATCAGTGTGGCCATGCTATGCACATCAAGGAGAAACTCATTTAACCTGCCCCCAAAAATATAATTACTCCTGATAATTTTATAACCAATGAAAGTATTCTGTTTTTAACAAAATAGTACCTGGTGCTGTGCTGTTCTCATACAGTAAAATTAACGACCTGTACTGTGCTTTATAGGAGATCTCAGAAAACTGCAGAGTATTGGTATAAGCTGATCTACATCTTTGGGGCAAATTGATTAACAAAAGAATGGTAGTACGCTAGAAAGATTGTCTTCTCAACTGTAGAGGCCTTTTCCATGGCTTTCATCAGGCCTGGTTAAGTTAGGAATGTAGACAAATTTTCATACTCCTACAGCAATATAGAGATATTGGTATTTACGAATTGAAGCTAATATTGCCACACTAAAGCAATTTTTAAAAGGAAAGGTAAGACTTTATTCTAGGAGAACAAATTTGTTTGTGTACAAACCTAACATGGCGGATTATGAGTCTTAGAGAATAAATAAATTGATAACAAAGAAAATCAAAACAAATTGAACTCATGCAAAGTTCAATCGTTGCGTGCTCTCGAGGTCTAGAAATCGTGATACTATTCGTAGCAGGATCGATTCCTGCTGGTTTTCAGGGGTGACGGGAAGGGGACTCGACGTTGCCAACAGACTATAACTAATAAGGAGGGTAGGGGTCATGAGAATAGAATCCTCTAACATCCCCCCCACCCCTTGCAGATAGTTTTTTGGATAAATTATTGGGCCTTTCTCTTCTAACGCGCATTGAATTGTATTGGGTGACAGACTTGTCTCAGGAGCATAAGTTTAGTGTATAGTAAAGATATGGCGAGAAAGGAATCGATTGCTTTGGTTCAGATACAAAATAAAATGCAAACATTTACATCTACGTATGGTCGGCTCTCACTGCACTTTTCTTTCAGTCAAAGAGCCTTGGAGTATTTACCGTTCTGGTTGCATTCGTTCATATATTTACTACCTTTTAAAATTTTTTGACTTTCATTTGAGTTATTAGCCTTACCAGAGGTATTGACGAAGTAACTGCCATAAATGAACCGGTACTATCTCGAAAAAAGCTCCTGATGATATTTTCAGCTTATGAAAAATGAAAATAAAAGATAGAATAATTACGCTGGATTTCATGGAGGCAGATATCACCGGAGAAAAAGGCACGAAAAATATCACATTGATGACACAACCAACCTGATTAGTTAGTAGACGAGTTCTTCCAAATTGGACCAATCAGTTAAAATCAAATTCGGAAGACAATGCAACAGGGGTATAAAACACAGGAGGATTATTCTAAGCCCTGCTAGGTATTTAATATACGTTCTTATGGAAATTCAGAGCAGGCCTCCCAAGAAAAATCAGTTTATTTCAAAGAGGTGTCCGGTCGTGGTCAAGGAGGAAAAGGTTTGGGAGGAAGAGGCATGAAACGACATAGGAAAATTTTACGCCACAAAATTCAGGGTATCGCCAGGCCTGGTACTAAACGTTTGGCCAGAAGAGGCGGTGTGAAACGCATTTGAGGTCTCATTTATCAAGAAACGCGCGGATTTTTTAAAGTTTTCCTCGAAAATGTAATACGCGACGCGGTGACCTACACCGAACACGCTAAACGAAAAACGGTGGCCGCGATGAACGTCGTTTACGCGCTTAAACGACATGGACGCACGCTGTACGGCTTCGGAGGATGAAGAACAAAGAACTGACACGGCGGAGAAAATTTAGAGTAGCAAGCGCGTAAAAGAAAAGACTGAAATTTCTTGATTGCTTCCAGCAGGACTACAAGCTCGTAATTATGTTTTAATTTCGTATGCACTTTTCATTTTTTCGTATAGAATTAAAACAATGTACAATGAAACGATCTCATCATTTCCTCATATTGCATTGGCTGAATTTCGTTTCGTTTGTATTTATATGCTGAAGTTGTCAGTTTTTTTTTTTTTAAAGAGTTCTATATAACCCCATACATTAATTATGCATTCATTTCATAAAGACTAAATGTAAAGGTTTTTTCGCAACACCGAATGCATAATTAACGTATGGGATTATATGGAACACTCACCTTTTTTTCTTAATATTGTATCTATATAATTTACAGAGAATTAATTTGCTTCTTTTGTTCGTACACTTGTTGACAATCTATATTTTTTACCGGAAGTCATTTGCACGGGAGGGGACTGAGACAAGGTTAGTGGTGCTCGCCACTAAAGTGCAAATTTGTATTTTGTAAACCTCAGGGAACATATGTTCCACATATTCAAACAGGGGTTTAGACAGAGCAGTTTTAATTGGTGTTTCGAAAGAGCAAAACCGGTATAATCCAAACGGGCAATCAGAACAGAATGGTGAACATCGCAAATTAGCTAGTGAGAACCAGAGATATTAACGGACGCGGTATGCCAAAGGCACGTGACACCCTAGAGTGACATATTTGCTTCGTTATCATCAAAATTGTTTTCTAGTCACTTAAATAAACGTTAGAGAGAAAATCATTAGTTAGATTAAGTACCGCGAAAACGGCGAACGCTGAACGTCGGCTAGCCGTTTATTGTTTGCCGTTCCGTCCGCGATGTTCGTCTGTTTAAGCTTCCCGACGACACGGCAGAACAAATGTTCTCGATCGCCACTCACTGCGACCAGAAATAATGGATACAAAGAAGTAATGCATTTTCCGCTTGAATTTTAACTGTACTAGCTTTACAAGCAGTTCATATAGAAGTAAGGTGATAAACGGAGCTTAACTACAAAAGCAAGCGATCAAAATGTAGAAATAGTCGGTAAAATAGGCTGCAAATACTCAAGTTTTCGAGTTCCCTACAAATGGGAAAAGTGTGATCCTCGAGTAGAAACGGCGGCCGGCAAACGGCAAACGCGGGAAATGTCAGGTCACATGACCCTCTCTGCCGTTCGCGGGGAAAAAATACGTGGTGCTTAATCTCTCTATTGACGCAAACTAAACGTTTTAATTCATTTCCAAGTTTAATCGTTTCCGGCTGATACCCATGTTGATGCTGTCCTTTTGTTTCTGGTTGATTTTAGTCTAGGTGAAACCTGCGTTTATTAGGGATCGTAAAAGAATCTAAAGAAGAGAACTGAAAACGTTATTAACACCTTTAAACCTCTGAGATGCAATCATAATCCAAACATCAGTGTTCATAAGAGCATGAAAACACTGGTGGCTTTTATTCGACGTTTCACCGATTAGCTCAGAGATCTCTGCAGATGGTTCAGGCCTGTACTAGGGCGAGAAAGTTTCAGAATTCATTTGTTTTTCGTGTTAAACAGTTTGCCTCAATTTTAAAGGAGTGTTAAAGAAATGCATATGCATACGCCACATATACACAAAAGATGTATTGTTAGAGGTCAGGTAGGTAAACCGCACTTACGAGCCATGTCGCCGATCGGGCCAGCGCATAACTCGGGTTTCCGCAACATGAAGCGGCTAGGAGTAATTCTACCCCCTCCCCACCCTGGATGAGATGCTAGTCCATCGCATCCCTGCATTAAATTTGCCGTTACCCATTTAAACATCTGGGTGAAGAGAGGCACTATGAGTGTAAAGTGTCTTGCCTAAGAACACAACACAATGTCCTCGGCCGAGGCTCGAACCCGGACCACTCGATCCGGAGTCGAGCGCACCAACCATGAGGCCACCTCGCCTCCCATGTTTTGTTAGACACGGTTTAAAATTGTCTTCTTCGAAGAGGCTGTCGAACCAATGTTTGTAGACGTCAAATTTACCATATTGAACTGAATATTTACAAGTTGGTGACTACTTGAAATCTATGGAAAATGATTCATGCAGTTTCACAGGTCTCTGTTTTTAATTTTCATTCAGTTAAACCAGGTCTTATTCAACATATTTTGTTGGTGTGAATGAAGTCCAAGATATACTTTGAAAGTTAAGCCTTGTGAGAGAATTGTCAAAACTCATTTTGACAGATGACATGACATTTAATTTCGACTCTCGAAAACCCGATCAGTATTCATTATTTTACTTGCAATTAAGCAAGAAAATTACAATTGAATGTCCTGACCACCTCCGTTTGTTGATATGCCTGATGCAAGTCTTTATTTGTCATTTGCATATATCATCTTGTCATTTGCTTACATGTTAAGAACCCATATCATAATTAGTGTATACCCTTTATTGAGCTTCATCACTTTCGCGAAAAAAAGAACATTTTATGCAGAATCACTACCCTGAATAAGGAGAAATTGTCCCGCTAAAGAATCAAAACAGATTTTTTTTCTCTGGAAGAGGAGTTCCTATCTTTTATACGTGAGTTAATGTCATGAAAGAATTTTTTTGTAATGAGTCTTCACAATATATCCCTATAAACGCCGAATTCGCAGATCTTCGATCGAGTTTTATCGCCAACTGTGTCTTCAACAATTGTCTAACTTACACCTCCATCATGTTAAATATAGTGACAATCTACGCCATACACAAAACCTCGACGATGGCAAAAACTTTAAAAACTCTGCTGCTGAATCTTGCCTGCTCTGATGTTGCGGTTGGTTTGTTTACTCAACCGTTATATACTTTATTTCTTGTCAGTCGTCTTCAACTGCAAAAACATGCCTGTACAACTCAGCAAATGTGGATTATTTCAAGTAACTTATTTTCAACTGCTTCGTTCTTTGGTGTGGTGGCCGTAAGTGTAGATAGGTTCTTAGCTATTCATCTTCATCTCAGATACCAAGAGCTCGTGACTCACAGACGTGTTGTTATTGTGGTGGCCGGCGTATGGGTGTATAGTGCATCTGTTTCTTTGATGATGTTGTGGGGGTTAGTCAGTACTCGAGCTCTTACTACTTTAGTTTCTGCGTCTTTCAGTTTAATCATCACATCTGGGGTGTACATCAGGATATATTTAACTGTCCGACAACACAGTAATCAGATTCAGTCCATGCAAATACGAGACGAAGCTCAGTCTGATGAAATAAAAAACTTTGCTGTTCTCATTAAATCAACAGTTGGTGTATTCTACGTATATCTCGTGTTTTTAAGCTGTTATTTGCCTGTTTTGATTTGCACTGCTGTAATTCGACTCTATGGCTCGAATTCCACTTTAAAAAAGTTCTACCTTTTCTCATTGCTTCTCGTATATCTAAATTCTTCTTGGAACCCGGTCATTTACTGCTGGAAGATGAGAACAATTCGACACGCTATCATGGACATACTGTGGAAGGTGTCGCGGAGAAGAAATCAGCCATATCGCGTAATTTACAGACGGCCATCGAGTGTCGTCCGTGTTGATAACTGATCCACTCTATTGGCCTACAAGGAGTATGCGCAGTTTATAAATTTACGACAAAGTGAAAAAAAACAAAGAAGATTAAACATAGACTTTGTAATATGACACTGAATCTAACTACACAATATATCAAATTATCGCAACTAGTAGAGGAAATCGCATGGGGCTGAGAAAAATTAAGGATTAATATCTCGCGTGTTTTTGGAAGTTGCTAAAATTGCACGAGTCGCGCAGCGACGAGTGAAATTTCTGCAACTTCCGCAAACACAAGTGATATTAATCCTTAATTTTACGAGGAACCATGTGATTACTTGTTTATAATATAAGGGGCAAAATGTTTCTTACTGATCTCGCACAAATCGGAACGCTATCGTTACAAAACAAACAGAAATCTCTTTACCTTGGCAGCCGTTGCTAAGCGATTTTCAGCCAATCATTTTCAAGTAATTTTTCCAGGGGAAATTGCAAAAATTAAGAAAAAAGTGCCCTCTGTCTTGACCAATCACAATTCAGTAAACTTTCCCCTTATATTTTAAGAGAGGAAAAGGCTACTTTGAACAGGGAAGCTGGTTTTGTTATCGATGGACCGTTAGATTGTAATTCCGGATGGCAATGAAAGGAAGGGAACATACGTGATATCATCTATAGCAAGGTTTTCATCGCTCTGGATTTAAAATCACGATTGAAGAAGTGAGAGTGGATGCCGACCTGAGCTTAATGCCGGAGTTTCTTTCATCCATTCAAAAGTTTTCCCATGCTGGCGAAGTGTTTCGCTTACTCTCTTGAAAACAACTGAATGACATGCCAGATTGGAATAGAACAGAAGGAAACTTGTACCAGCCACTCTTCTACCTCAAAGGCAGAATTCCCTAATTACGCCATAATTGAGGAGAAAAAAAACTGCTTCTTCTCATAAAAGTCAATTCTTTGACTCCCCTTCATGTGCAATTCGAAGAAACTTTTAAGCAAGCAGGTAACGAGAATGACAAAGATGATCAATTAGAGATCATGATATGGATGGCAAGAGTCTCGGGAGGACTGAACATCAAATTGAGGATATGAGTGAAGGGAATGAACCTTCAGGTCTTTCATTGAAAGTTTAACTTGTCAAATTATATCCTACAACTTAAACAGTATAGCGTCACGTTAAGAACGGAAGGGAAAAAGCAACCAGGAGCTAGTATTTAAGAGGGAGAGAAAATCGACGTTACTCTTTAGTTATTGCATTTGGGTGGATTGAAATTAAAAAAAATGGATTAATTGATATGCTCGAAAACCGTACATGCAGCGTTTGCCTTTACACTCTTGAGATAAAAACTTATTCGAAGCAGAAGGCTAAGCGTGTAAACAAAAGCAAAGGCGGCTTTAGACTTGTTGATTAGCCCGCAGATGTTTGCTAATACCTTAGTGGGAAGTTTTGAGAAATTAAAGTCAAGAGCGTTTTTCCTTGTTGTCTTCTTTCGCGTAAGTCGATAGTTTTTTCCCATTTCTAGACAAAAAAGTGGGTCGGTGCTAATGGGTGAGAAAAGCAATGATAAGAATGATAACAAAAGTTCCTTAGCGTATCTTCTGTTAAGATAACTAAACCAAACATTGTTTAGAGTCCAGAACGAATTATTATCATCTTGAAGGCTTTGCCATGTTTTATTAATTTCCTGATAGACATAGCTGTCAATCTGGAATCAACGAAACCAACCTAAATGGGCTTAATATTTTTGTCTTTATTTATTGACTCTCATGTCTCTCAGTTCATCTTTGAACTTTGTCATTTGCTGCTAGAAGATGAGACACATTCGACACGCTATTGTGAACATATTGTGCGGAACATTTCATAGAGAAGAAATCAGCCATATCGAATAATTTACAAGCGGTGTTCAAATGACACTCATATTAGTCACTGAATACCTGTGCGCAATGACTATCTGAGTTGTAATCCGCCTAATCAGCTAAACAGCAATATATTTATGAAAGCGACAACAGTGGTGGCAGAAGTTAATTTTTTTAGAAAGTACGCTAGAGGTCTCTGTACATGGTGTACGCCTGAGGAAAGACGGAGAGATTTGAAAATTCTTTTTAAAGGATGAGTATTTCTTGATTACCTCTGTTCGCTCAGACAGACAAGGGTAATCTCGGGTTTTCGAGAGTTTAATGTGGCGAAAATGGTACGAACACTTATTTCACGATTTGACCAAAAAGTATTTAATAAAACGGACTAAATTACGCGAAAATTGTCAAAACACTTATCAGAACGAACAGAGAAATAATTCATATGTATAAATAGCTTATCGGGACGAGTTACAAGGATCCATTTCCTTCCTCCGGTCCTAGTTACTTTCCACAGAGAACTATTTTAAGAAGGTCTTTCTATTTTGCGATTTTTGACAATCGCGAAAATCGTAAAAATCAACTCCCGCGAAAATAATTAAAATTATCGTATCTTTACTGAAGCACTCTTTTATTGTCTAAATTTCGATTCAAACTGATGAAAATACAATTGAACATCTTGACCGCCCCTAGATGTTAATCTCCCTATGGCTGAATGCTACATCTGTTTCTTTGATGATAATGTTGGGGTAGTCAGTATTCAAGATCTTATCATTTTAGTTTCTACATCTTTCAGTTGTGGTGTACACCAGGATATATTTAACTGTTCGGCGGTACAAGAATCAGATTCAATCTTTGCAAGTAGTAGCTTCGTCTGATGAGATGAGAAAAAACATTTCTGCCCTTATTAAGTCCAAAGTTAGTATATTTTACGTATATTTTGTCTTATTAACTTGTTTTTAAATTGTTACTCGCTATATTTTATTTGTGCCGCTATTTTGAAAATCTATGGCTTGAGTGTCGTTTTACAAAAACTTTCTTTTTTCTTGGACTCTCGTGTATGTTAATTCCTCTTTGAACCCTCACCTGTCATTTACTGCTGGAAGATGAGACACATTCGACACGCTGTCATGAACGCAATGCGGATCGTGTCTTGGAGAAGAAATCAGCCATCTAGCTTAATTTACAATCGGTCATTGAGCGTCGTTCCTGTTGCCAGATAACTGATATCCTCTGTATGGCTTACATGGACTAAGCTGTTTCTTAACGACAAAGTAAATTGAGACAAAGAAGATTGTAGATAAACATGGTGATATGACTCTACGACCACGTAATTGCGATGTTTGAATTTTAAATACACAATACATCAAATGATCACAATTGGAAAGCAGGAATGTATTTTGAACAGGCAGGTTGTTTTTGTTTTTTGTTTTTTATCGACAGACAATGAAATAACAATTATGAATGCCCGAGCAAACGTAGGACAGTAGACATGATATTAATCGTATCAGGATTGAATACTAACAGGCCGGCAAATGAAAGCTTTTTATGGCGACCCGAGTTTCGTAACGCAATGCGAGGACATTGCGAGAAACTCTTTAAAGCTAAGTTTCAAGCCATTTCTTGACAGATGTTGGCAACCATTACGAAAAATAGAAAAAGTAGCTTTTAATTAACTTTTACATAAAAACATCTAGAAATTAAAGTCGCTACTCATGAGAGATTTGGTCTCCAGCTTCTTTGATTTTTGTCAATTTCTAGGCAGCTTTTGGCATTTTGTAATCCATTCCAGTGAACAACCTTCCAGCATTTTAGGAGCACAATCAAAACAGACCTAACCCCATTCCCCCCTCAGATAAGACTTCATCATAATTAAAGGTGAAATGCACGTATATTTAGCATTGTACAGTATGATTTGAAATTTTTTGTTTAATTCAAAGCTGTTTACAACTCATTCTACAAATGAAGCAGCCTCTTAACAATCAATTTGAGAAAGAATTCCTGTCTGTTTGTAATGACATTCTTCATTGTTTTTCAAACATGAAATGAAGACTCAAAAGAAAGAAAAGTCAATTTCTAATATTCTGCTAATGGATCTCTTGAGCGTTTCGATTGTAACTGACCGCTTTTGAAAGTTTTTGTAGAATATTAAGGACCTACATAGATACTATTCTTGTACCCAGACCTTCCACGGCCTGGGTACAGGATTGCATAGAGACAATATCTCTATGGGATCTAGGTACGAGATTGCATAGAGACAATATCGGCGAGGGAAGAAGAAAAAAGAAAACTATCGAAAATCGGATCAAAGGAAAAAAAGAGGTTTCAAATCAATGTCTGACAACTGAGCAGTACTTGAGCAGAATCATCACAAACCAGAACCCAGACGTTGGAGGCCTACATGTAAATTGCGTTGCTTTTTGTATCCTGGAAAGTATGCCAGAGCTGGAAAAACGAAAGCGACGCTCACAGCCCCATTAGTCATGAGGAATAGCCTCGCATTAATGAGAAAAAGTGTCTTTTGTGTTTGCTGTTTTCTGGGGTATGCTATGGTGAAATTCATCAGCCTGCGTGAAATTCATCAGTCTGCATCTGGAAGTCTGCGTTTCGATTGCCGTCTTACAGTGCTCGATCCATAAAAGTAGAGCACAATATATGTTGAGTTGGAAAAATACAAAGACTATGCTTTCATCCCTAATAGCAAATTCTTTGTATTTTTCCAACTCGACTTACGTATCGAGCACTGCAATACGAAAAAATCGAAACACACACTTCTTATGTCTACAGGATAATAATTATTTATCACAAACAATTTGTCAAACAGTGTGAGCAGAACGCATTCAAAAACTGTCCGATTCAAATTATCTTCGTAGCATTTCTCTAAATTGTAATGTAGTATATGACTCCTAAATTTGCTTAATCAAGAGTTACTCCATTGCCATGTGACAAATCTAAAGAGGAATATTACGGAAAAAGCCAATCTTTTAGAGCTTTATTCTCTCTTTAGAGTAGACACGCTGTGTCATTTGTGATTGATATAGCTTACTGAGATTATGGTCAGTTAACGTTACCGAGTAAAGGGCTTAAACATTCTGAATAGGAGCTCTGATCATAATTGGAGATTCGTGCTACAATTTGTTTAAAGTTTCAGGAAAGCCGAACTACTTTCTCCTGACTTGTCCCTC